CTTTCCGACGATTGTTTCTTGTTCTACACTGAGAATTGGTCCATATTTATTTTACATAGAGAAATTTATTACTCAATTCAAAACAACAGAAAAAAAATTATAGGTCGCCATGCTCGTTTTCGAGAAAATGACGATTTACCTCTATGGCGAGAGAAAAAAACCGCCATTTTTTAATGCGCGCGCTAATCACGCGTGAAATTATACGCAGTAGGGATGCGCAATGCAATACTGGGGAATGACCCTAAGACAACATTATTATTATTATTATTATTATTATTATTATTATTATTATTACTATTACTATTATTATACTTCTTAAGGAAATGCAGTACATTAACACTTTCGTGACACAGAAAATCATCAGATACACTAGTTTACGTAATTACCGCGTGGGACCCCAAGAAATAAAAAGAAAATTCTTTGTAAAGACTACTTGGACGTCACAACGTATAAGGTTTTTACTAAATTATTTCATGGACTAGAGCTACTACACGTAGTGCTCTACAGTCAAAAATTCACTTTTTAATGTCTCCATCTTGATGTTGCAGGCGCACGGTCATGCATCAGCCTAATTGTCGTGTGGGAACCAAATAAAGCGAGAGCCGCAGCATGCACTACCAAGTCATAATTTGAGCATCGTTTTGACTAGCAAAGTTGTAGAATCCCCATGATATACAAGACTCCAACTGAAGCACAAACTTGTCCATAGTCACTATGTATTTTTAACCCTCCCCTCCTCTCCCTGCGTGCGTTATTTCTCACCTGTAGCGTTTGTTGTCCAGCGGTACCACGTCCATCATAAGCATGTAGTAACTTTTGGGATCCAGTCCACTCACTTTGACTCGGATGGCGGGAAACATGCGCCTGGCACAAAAAGAATCAAAAAGCATCTTTTTATTTCACAACTTTTTTGTTCGAACGCTAAAGCTAACCAAAGCTTCAAATAACATCAGTTACCAAGCTATTTCAATATAACTAGGGTATCTAAAAGATAATAATGCTGCAGCACATTCTATTGATAGTGACATATTTTACGCAGTGATTCATCTACAACTTCATGCATGATGACACATGGATGGCGAGGTGTGACAAGGGATCGTGACAAAAAAGCACATAGTGATCTGACCCATGTCTGAACATAAAAAGATACACATCAATCTCCCCTTTACTAGATCTCGAAAATCGAAAGATGTGGAAGTTGTAAGAGCAGAAATCTAACTTATAAATTCTGTATTGATACGCATTAAATGTCTCAAGACTGTTGACAGACTGTGTCGAGGACGCGTCCATCGCGATGTGTGAAAATTCTAAAGCTTTAGCTTAAATTCATGTTTGGATGAAAAGAAATAGATCGCAGCATATATGAAATTAGCGTGTTTGTTCTACGGTTTTCGTTTGTTTTAATTATTCTGCGAGCTTTAGGAGCGACGATTTCTCTTCATTTAAGAATTCGGCCAA